GAGATAAGTCAGAGGTTCCTATAAGACCAAAAGACACAGGAGCAGAAATTAGGCCATTTGGTCCATCGAGTCTACTCCATCATTTAATCATGGCTGATAAGTTCCTCAACCCCATTCTCTGCTTTCTCCCGGTTACCCTTAATCCCCTTGATAATCAAGAACCTATCTATCTCAGTCTTAAATGTACTCAATGACATGGCCTCCACAGCCTTCTGTGACAGTGAATTCCATAGATTCACCACTCTCTGGCTGAAGAAGTTTCTCCTTATTTCCGTTCTAAAAGGTCTTCCCTTTACTCTTACGCTGTGCCCTCGGGTCCTAGTCTCTCCTACCAATGGAAGCATATTCCCAACATCCACTCTCTCCAGGCCATTCAGTAGTCTGTAAGTTTCAATTAGATCCCCCCTCATCCTTCTAAACTCCAATGAGTATAGTCCCAGAGTCCTCAAGCGTTCCTCATATGTTAAGCTTTCCATTCCTGGGGCCATTCTCTTGAACCTCCTCTGAAACTCCTCAAGGGCCAGTACATCCTTCCTGAGATATGGGGCCCAAAACTGCACGCAATACTCCAAATGTGGCCTGACCACAGCCTTATAAAGCCTCAGGAGTACATCCCTGCTTTTATATTCAAGTCCTCTCAAAATAAATGCCAATATTGCATTTGCCTTCCTGACTACTGACTCAACCTACAAGTTTACCTTGAGAAAATCCTGGACTAGAACTCCCAAGTCTCTTTGTACTTCAGACTTCTGAATTTTCTCCCCATTTAGAAAATAGTCCATGCTTTTATTCTTCTTACCAAAGTGCATGACCTCACACTTTCCCACGTTGTACTCCATCTTTGCCCACTCTCCTAACCTGTCCAAATCCTTCTGCAGCCTTGCCACCTCCTCAATACTACCTGTGCCTCCACCTATCTTTATATCATCTGCAAACTTAGCCAGAATACCCACAGTCCCTTCATCTAGATCATTAATGTATAAAGTGAAAAGTTGTGGTCCTAGCACTGACCCTTGCGGAACACCACTTGTCACCGGCTGCCGTCCTGAGAAAGATCCCTTTATCCCACTCTCTGTTTTCTGCCAGACAGCCAATCTTCTATCCATGCTAGCACCTTGCCTCCAACACCTTGGGCCCTAATCTTGCTCAACAGCTTCCTGTGCGGCACCTTGTCAAAGGCCTTCTTGAAGTCCAGGTAGATAACATCCATTGGCTCTCCTTGGTCTACCCTGCTCATTACTTCCTCAAGAATTCTAACAGATCTGTCAGACATGACCTCCCCTTAATGAAACTACGCTGACTTTGCCCTATTTTACCATACACTTCCAAAAATTCAGAAATCTCATCCTTTACAGTGGACTCCAAAATCTTACCCACGACTGAGGTTAGGCTAATCTGCCTGTAATTGTCTGTCTTTTGCCTTACTCCCTTTTTAAACAGGGGTGTCACGTTAGCGATTTTCCAGTTCACTGGGACCCTCCCTGACTCTGGCGATTCCTGAAATATCACCACTAAGGCTTCTACTATCTCTTCAGCTATGTCCTTTAGAACTCTGGGGTGTAGTCCATCTGGTCCATGTGACTTATCCACCTTCAGGTCAATCAGTTTTACTAGCACCTTTTCCTTGGCGATGGCCACCATACTCAGCTCTGCCCCCTGACTCTCTTGAATTTTTGGGATATTACTCGTGTCTTCCACCGTGAAGACTGACATGAAGTAATTATTCAGTTCCTCAGCCATTTCCTTGTTCCCCACTACTGTCTCTCCAGTGTCATTTTCCAGTGATCCAATGTCCACTTTTGCCTCTCTTTTGCCCTTTATATATCTAAAGAAACTCTTACAGTCTTCTTTTATATTACTGGTTAGCTTACCCTTATATTTGAACTTCTCTCTCCTTATTTCTTTTTTTGTTGCCCTCTGTTGGCCTTTCTAAGCTTCCCAGTCCTCTGGTTTCCCACTGCCCTTCACCACATTATATGCTTTCTCTTTTGCTTTTATGCTATCCCTGACTTCCTTAGTCAGCCATGGTTGCCTCATCCTCCCTGTACCATGCTTCTTTTTCCTAGGGATGAATTTTTGTTGCGTCTCCTGAATTACTCCCAGAAACTCCTGCCACTGCTGTTCCACTGTCTTTCCTGCTAAGCTCGTCTTCCAGTCAATTCTGCCCAGCTCCTCCCTCATACCTCTGTAGTCACCTTTATTCAGCTGTAATACCGTTACCTCTGATTCTATCTTCTCCCTCTCAAATTTCAGAGTAAATTCTATCATCTTATGATCACTGCCTGCTAAGGGTTCCTTTACCTTAAGCTCTTTTATTAAGCGTGCCTCATTGCACAACACTAAATCTAGTATTGCCTGTTCCCTTGTGGGCTGCACCACGAGCTGCTCCAAAAAGCCATCCTGTAGACATTCCACAAACTCCTTTTCTTGCAATCCACTACCAACATGATTTTACCAGTCCACCTGCGTATTGAAATCCCCCATGATCACTGTGACTTTGCCATTCTAACACACCTTTTCTATCTCCTGGTGTATCTTGCGCCCCAGCTCCTGACTACTGTTTGGAGGCCTGTACACAACTCCAACTATGGTTTTTGTTACCTTTGTGGTTCCTCAATTCTACCCACACAAAATCTACACCATCTGACCCTGCTTCGTTTCTTCCTATTGATTTAATTTCATTTCTCATTAATAAGGCAACTCCACGCCCTTGGCCCTCCTGCCTATCTTTTCGAAAGGACATATGTCCTTGGATATTCAGTTCCCAATCCTGATCCCCTTGCAGCCACGTCTCTGTGATGCCTACCACGCAGTTTCTATCTGCACCACAAGCTCATTTACCTTATTCCTTATATTGCATGCATTCAGATATAACACCTTCAGTCCTGTATTAACCCTCCCTCTTCTCATTTTCATTCGTTTTTCCAGTGTTTGATTGCTAGCCCTTTCCAAACACTCTGTTGTATTTGTGTCTGTGCTGGAGACTTTAGTAACCTCTTCTGAGTTCTCCTTCCCTGTCATTTCTATCATATTTTTGCACATAGTTGAATCCACGACTACAGATATTAACCTGCTACTTTGTTTCCCTTTGGGGCAAGTTTCACCATTCCCTACCCCCTCACTTTCCAGTTTAAAATCCTGTTGACCAGCCTATTTACCCTTTTTGCTAGAACATTGGTCTCAGCTCAATTCAGGTGGAGACCGTCCCAACGGTACAGATCCTTCCTGTTCCAATACTGATGCCAGTGCCCCATGAAAACGAACCCCTCTTTTCCGCACCACTCTTTTAGCCTATTCACCAGTTGCTGGTTTTAAACCAGTTCCTTTTCATTTCGGCCCACAATTTTAAAAATAAAAATAAAAAAGAACTTCCTTTACAATGGGAAAAGGAGTAAAAATTTCTGAATAAACTGGTTGTGGTGAATGTGCCATAAATTCTAAGTCATTGTAAAGGTCATGTAGTCAGAAGTTGTGTAAGGAAGGCCAAATATCAAGTGAGACTTTGATGTGCTAGCATACATCACAAAGATATAAGATACCACATGGGTGCTGGCAAGTGTCTTTGATTCTGGGACAAGGAGAATGCTTCATGTTCTACCCAAGGACAAAGCTTGATTATTTTGTTAGGAGTACCTGTGTGCTTCCCTCTTAGTCAGCTATCAACCTCTTTGTTATTCCGAAAAGACTTATCTTTGCTGATTGAGTGAGACCATTAAACTTCTTTCAACAATGTGAGAGGTACTTGGGGTGTTAGAAACTGTACTCGTTATAACCATCTGTTCTCTGTACTCAAACAATGGTTTTCCTCTGTTCTCTAACTTGGGACAGTGTAGGTCTCTTATACCAGCCTCTCTTTCCCTTATGTTGCTAAGTCAGTTTGCTATTTGTTGCAGTATACTACTCATCACTTTAATTACATGCAGTTCTTCAATTAAACAAGTTAGCCCAGTGCTCTGCTCTCTTACTTGAATTTTCACTCCAGTTGCACCTCAATTCCAATCTCTGCCACATGGCCATTCCTGGTTTCCTGATGGTGGGACTTATCTATCCATCAAATAAAATAAAAAGATGTTACATTCTGGCAATCCTGATATATATTTTCCATCCCTAGTTGCCCTAAATAGATGGTGAGACACCTTCTTTAGCTACTGGTTGCTGTTTGATGCTATCTATCCTGCCAATTTTATGGAATTTTGGGCAAAGCCAACCTTCTCCAATTTCGGCAGCATTAACTCCTGTCTTGACTGTCTTACACTGATACATCAAAGAACTAGGAGTTTAGGTTTAAGGCCAAGGGGATCACATTTCGGAGCACCCATTTTTGCTTGCAGCCCATCCACCATACACCACCCCTGTACTATGCACATAGACAATGGGGATGTGGTGGGGAGAGGGTTGTCCTTCCTACAGCTGAACCTCTGTTCGGCTGTCCATTTCTAAGAATGGCTTGATGCCTTTGGAAAAATGAAAGATTTAGCTCCTATTTTTAAGAGTTCAATGAGCTCAGATTTTGAGGCTCTTTTGTAGAGGTATCTCCTGACATAGATTTCCTATAGCTCAAAATATATTTCAGTGATAAAGTAATATTTTAGTTCTGCTGTATTAGAATTTGTTTTGCTTGTTTCTATTTCTCGCTAAATGCTGAACGGCATGTCCCCAAAAAAAGACTTTTGCTCATACGTTGTAATCCTCCCATTTGGAATTGCTCATCTCCCTTTCGATCCATCAAAATGGCAAACAAAATTCCTCCTGGCATATATTTCCTAAACACATACATAATGTTAATTTGCTGTAATAACACTATTGATGATTCTCCCAGATACCTAAATCTCTTAATTACATCTTGGCCTTTATGGAACACAATTAAGGAAACTGGTTTTAAAAAAAAAAGTGCAATAAAAGTGTGAATTTAAGTATAACTTAACAAAACTATTGACTTTATTTACAGAAAGTGGAGAATTACTAACATTTGCAATTGCTTTGTTTTTAATTTGGTTCAGGTACTTTAATCTGGCATCCAGTCTGTAAACAGGCTGCCAGGGCAGAAGAAAAGCAGAAGGTAAGGAAAAAGAAGTATTGTAAAATCGGTTAATAACTGATATGAGTTAAAAACCTAAGTATGAACATTCACTATTCTCTACTATTTCTGATGAAGTTCAAGAACTTATTGGTCTTTATTATTTCTGCTAGAACCTTTTTATTGATGATTTTAATGTTTTGCAATGTCTAAGATTGATTTGTCTTACAAAATGAGTTTTGTACTAGGGACTATAGATGCACTGATTTATTGCATTGGTTAATTACAGTGTTTTTTTCAATTTAAGCAATTAATATTTCTATAACACTTTTTAAATTGTTTTTAAACTTCCAGTAACACTCCTACTGAGCAGTGTTTTTTGAATATAGTTTAGAGTAGAAGGAAAACAAGTGACACATGAATGCAACACCAACCTTGCACATACCTAACAATTAATAAACATTGAAGAAAAGGTATTCCATAAATAACAATGTGACTTGTAAGTGGTTACATGGAATGTTGAAAGTAAGGAGGAGAGGCAACAGTCCTAGTGGTATTGTTGCTGGACTATTAATCCAGAGACCCAGGTAATGTTCTGGTGACCTGTGTTCAAATCCCGCCATGGTAGAACAAAGAATTTGAATTCAATTTAAAAAATCTGGAATTAAGAGTCTACTGATGACCATGAATCTATTGTTTATTGTCAGGGCAAAAACCCATCTGGTTCATTAATTTCCTTTAGGGAGGAAAACTACCATCCTTACCTGGTCTGACCTACATGTGACTCCAGATCCACAGCAATGTGGTTGACTCTTAAGTGCCCTCTGGCTAATTAGAGATGGGTAATAAATGCTCTCCTAGCCAGTGCTGCCCTCATCCCATAAATGAATAAACAAAAAGACAACAATAAATTGGCAGATGCAAATAACTAACTTGGGGATTGGTAAAGGTAAAGTTGTCATAGTCCCAGAGGACCGTAAGGCTGCTGTCTCATTTAACCTGAAGGTCACCACACACCAGGCAATGGGAAGATTGAGAAGGTGGCACCTTCACGATAAACACAGTCCAGAATGGGCATTGAACCTGCACTGTTGGCATCATTCTGCATCACAAACTGATTTGGGACTAACCAGTTTCTGTCCTAGGGAATTCGCACAGCCTCCCTTGCCAGAAAAAGTTAAAATGAATTAAATAAATTTTCTGAGACACAGAAATATGAAGAAAGAGTATGGCAAAGGAAAATAGAGAACAGCTATTTTCTTTATCTAAAGTGTGGATATCAATTTAAAATGACCATTATGAGAGCAAGGAGGCAGTTTAGGAGAAATTTCTTTACATGGGAAGATTCTCAAGAGTATGAAGTACTTTGCTGCACTGAGGGGGTGATACTGATCATATTATTTACGGCAAGAAAAGGATAAATATTTGAAGCAGTGAAAAGGGATAACAGAATTTGTTTTTCATTGTATTGAAAGTAAGACCATAGATATAGGAACAAAAATAGGCCATTGGGCCCATCGAGTGTGCTCCATCATTCAATGAGATCTTGGCTGATTTGATCATTCTCAACGTCTTTTCCTGCCTTATCTAGAGATAATCCTTGATTCCCTTACTGATTAAAAATCTGTCTCAAACTTGAATATGCTTAACAATCCACAACAGGCAGTAAACAATTCCACAGATTGACTATCATAGAACAGAGAACAGTACAGCACAGTACAGGCCCTTCAGCCCACGATGTTGTGCCGACCTATTATCCTACTAAGATCAATCTACCCTGCATACCCTACATTTTACTATCCTCCATGTCCCTTTCCAAGAGTCGCTTAAAAGTCTCTGAAGTATCTGACCCCACTACCACTGACGGCAGCACATTCCACACGCCCACCACTCTCTGTGTGAAGAACCTACCACTGACATCTCCCCTATACCTTCCTCCAATCACCTTAAAATTATGCCCCCTCATAATAGTCATTTCCACCCTGGGAAAAAGTCTCTGACTATCCATTCTATCTATGCCTCTCGTCATCTTGTAAACCTCTATCAAGTCACCTCTCATCCTTCGCTCCAATGAAAAAAGCCCTAGCTCCCTCAACCTTTCCTTATAATACCTGCCCTCCAGTCCAGGTAGCATCCTGGTTAAAAAAAAAATCCTCCTAATCACTGCCTTAAATGTGCGATCCCTCATTCTTTGATTATTCCCTCTGGTCCTAGACTCTCCCACATGGGAGAAAAAACCTCACCGTAGCTACACTGTCAAGTCCCTTAATGGCCTTACATGTTTCAATGATGTCTCCTTGCATTATTCTAAACACGAAAGAGTACAAGACCAATCCACTCAACCTCTCCTCATAAGAAAATCCCTTTATACCTAGGATCAACCTAGTGAGCCTTCTCTGGACCACCTGCAATGTCAGTATATCTTTGTTTAGATAAGGGAACCAAAATTATAAGATTATAAGGTATAAATAAATACAGATATAAAGATAAAGGAAATACGGTCCATCAGGTTTGCTTCGCCATTTTGTCAGATCATGGCTGATCTAATAATCCTGAACTCCACTTTCGTGCCTTTTCTCCATAATCCTTGATTCCCTTACTGATTATAAATCTGTCTATTTCAGTCTTAAATTTACTTATTATCTCAGCCTCAACAGCCCTATGTGGTAAAGAATTCCAAAGATTCACTAACCTCTTAGAAAAAAAAAGTCCTCCTCATCTCTGTCTTAAATGTGTGGCCTCTTATTCAGAGATTATGCCCTTTAGTCCTAGAATCTTCTAGAAGGGAAAACAACTTTTCAACATCTACCCCATCAAGTCCCCTAAGAATTTTGTTTGTTTCAGTAAGGTCAGTCTCATTCTTCTAAATTCCAACATGTAAGGCCCAATCTACTCAATCTGTCTTCATAAGACAGTCTCTCTGTATCTGGTATTAGCCTAGTGAACCTTTTTCAGACTGCCTCCAATGCTACTATATCTTTATTTAAATTGCATAACCATAATTATTCACAGTATTCCAGTTGTAGTCTGACTGGTGCCTTGTATTATTGTATTTTTGCAAAACCTCCCTCCTTTTTATGCCATTCCCTTTGAAACAAAAGCCAATGTTCCATTTGCCTTCTGTATTACCCACTAAACCTGAATTTTAACGCTTATCCATCTGTTCTATTGCTTTTTGTAGTCTTTCTCCATTTCAATAATATTCAATTCCTCTATTCCTTCTGCCAAAGTTCATAACTTCAGATTTTCTGACATTATATTCCATCTGCAAAGTTTTTTGCCCTCTGCAGACTCTTTGTGTCATCGTTACCACTTGTCTTGCCACCTACTTTTTGCATCATCTGCAAAACCTGGTTTATAGTACGTTCACTTTCTCATCCGGGCTATTAATATATATTGTAAATAACTGTGACTCCAGAACTGATCCCAGTGGCACACCACTGGTTACAGATTGCTATGCTGAAAATGCCCTCCTTATCCCCATTTTGCTATCTTCCATTAGTTAGCCAATCCTCTGTCCATGCTAATCTACTACCTCCAACACCATGAGCTCTTACATAATTAAGTGGCTTAATCTGTGGTACTTTATCAAATATCCTCTGAAATTTGAAATGTATCGGCTGCCTCTCCTTTATCTATCCTACTTGTTACCTCTTCAAAGAACTGTAATAAATTTGTCTGGCGTGATTCTCCTTCATCGGGCCATGCTGAGTCTGCTTGAGTTTGTTACATGTTTCTAAGCCCTCTGCTGTTACAGCTTTTTTTTAATAGAATCTAGAAATGTCTCAATGACAGATGTTAAGTCATTTGGCATATGATTACTTTTTTTGTCAACCCTCCCACCTCCCCCTGCCAACAATTCCCCTCTTTTATAATAAGGGTGTTACATTGGCAATGTTGCAATCCTTTGGGACTTGTCCAAAACCTATCAGGTCCAAGGGACTTATCAGCTTTCTGCCTCATTAGTTTCTACAGTACATTTTCTCCAGTGATAGTTATTGTGTCCCTTGATTATTTAATATTTTTGGAATGCTATTACTATCCATTGCCATGAAGACTGATGCAAAGTATTTATTAAACTCCTCTGCCATTGCCTGTTTCCCCATTATTATTTCCCTCATTCTCTGAGAGGGCACAATTACAATGTTTAACAGACATTTGGATAAATATGTGAATAGGAAAGGTTTGGAGGAATATGGACCAGGAGCAGGCAGGTGGGACTCGTTAACTTTGGGATTACGTTCAGCACGGACTGGTTGGACCGAAGGGTCTGTTTCCATACTACATGAATCTAAGAGGGCTATTGTCATGTTGGCCTTTCTTTTCCTTTATATATATTTAAAGAAGCACTTACCTTCTATATTTATATTTGTATTTATATGTATCTATTTCTCCTTTTTTAACCAGTATTTAGCTTTTTCAACTTTCCCAATCCTCTGGTTTACCAATAACCTTTGCCACATTGTATATTTTTCTTCCAATTTAATACCACCCTTAATTTCCTTGGTTGACTATAGTTGATCTTTCCCCTTCTTAGAATCCTTCTTCCTCATTGGGATATATCTTTGTCATAAGCTACCTGCTTGAACATCTGCCAATGTACCTCCCCCATCTTTTCTGCTAAATTCCTTTGCAGTGCAGTGCAGCCAACTCTGCTCTTGTCCTGTGTAAACAGCCTTATTTAAGTTTAGCACAGTTGTCTCTGACCCAAATTACTCCCTCTCAAACTGAATGCTAAATTTTGCCATGTTACAGTCACTTATCCCTCCATGATCTTTTACTATGAGATCATTTATTAAATTTGCTTCATTGCACATTACCAGATCCAAAATAGCCTGATTGGATGCATGACATATTGCTCCAGGTAACTGTTCTGAATACACTCTGAATTCATCCTCCCAGCTACCTTTGTCAATTTGCCAATGACTACCACAAGTATAATGAACTGAAGTACTTTTTTTTCTCTCTACTGTACATCTTGATAGTTTTAAAATTTAATTAAATCATTCATTTCAAACCTATGTTTTATGCAGAAATTAGAAGCAAGAAATATGATTTATGATGTACCTGCTTCACCAATAAGACATTCAGTGTGATTTCTGCAGTAAGCAAATAATGGATTAATTAAGGCTTGAGATTTGTATGATGATAGAATGACCAAAGATCCTGAGTCTTTAAGGTTTATCAGAATCAAAATGTGAGCTTGAATATTTATGAAGTCAGGAAACGACTACTTCATATAAAAATTAAAGCATTACATTTTGGGTTTGCATTTTCCACGTACAGCAGGTTCTAATTTTGATATCTATAAAATATTGTTACTTTGCCTCTAGGTCACTCGTACTTCTTCTGAGAGCATCACATCTCCTCCAGCCTCCAGTGCCTCAGGGTCCCCGAGCCGGTTAATATATGTGAGTTTATTCCACAGTTTTCTTTGGATGTCAGATATTCATCTCCAGTAATGCCATAACCAGGATAGACATTTTCAAATATGAATGAATATTTTGAAAGTTTTTACATATAAAAAATGACAGAATAAGGAAAGCAACATACTTACAGGACAGAAATAACTATTTCCAAATAAGGAAATCCCACATATCAAATCAATGTCTTTCTTTATTGTGAGTGCTGTGATTTGCCGCATGTGGAATGCTATCAGTCTTAGATTTGCTAGATATTTAAACATTGCATGAGATAATGCAGCCTTGTATGTGTGGATCAAACACACTTCCTATTGGGCAACACAAAGATCATGACAGATTGTGCGTTTAAAGGTGTATGCAAGCCTGGCTACCTATCTTGAACTGAGTTGCGGTTGCAAAGGGTGATGGTTTCGAAAATCAAGAAAATAAAATATCAAAGTGACAAACACATGCTACTTTTTTTTGAGTAAATTCATTTCTTAAGCAAATAATAAAATGAAGCTAACAGGAATATTTGTTTGCTTAATGATTACAGAAAATCTTATCAATGAAGACAGATTTCAGATAATTATACCTGTATCATATGACGAGACCTCAGTGCTTGTATGTTTTCAAGTCAACTTTTAAAAATATTTTTGTCAGAAATTTAAGTCATCATTCTGAAGCAGTATGCTAATTTCACAAATATTATCTTGACTATTACCTACATGTTTCTGAATCAATAAGAAATGCTTAATGGTCCACAATGAGTTTGTTGAGCCTTCTTGTTTGAAGTTTATCACACACCGTTCAGTTGCAGACTGCAGCTGGATTTGGTATGAGGTGGTTGAGGAAAGACAAAGGTGAGGGAGTGCTCTCAATCATTTCCAGCACAGATTGCCATGTTATGAAGGATGCTATTATGAACATCTGATGCATGCACTAAAATAGGCAGAGTACAGCAATTTAAAATCATGATAGCCATGATCGTCTTGTAACATGGATTTGACATCCAACCTGCCATTTTGGACTTATTCCATCTATCTTGTATAGGCAGGACTGAATATGTCTGCATGTGTTCAGCTGCACAAGGGACCTGATCAAGTTCGTTGTGGGAAGTTAGGGAGGAAAAAGCAGGGCTCCTAGCAGAAATATTTGTATCATCTACACCACAGGTGAGGTGCCAGAGGACTGGAGGGTGGCTAATATTGTGCCTTTCTGAAATAAAGCCTGTAAGGAAAAGCCTCACAGGGGAACTGTAGACCTGTGAGTCTGACATCAGTGGTGGATAAGATAGGATTTACATGCATTTGGAGAGGCAAGGAATGATTAGGCATAGTCAGCATGGTTTTGTGTGAGGGAAATCATGTCTCACAAATCTGACTGAGTTTTTTGAGGAAGTAATCAAAAAGATAGATGAGGCAGAACAGTAGATGTTGTTTACACGGACTTCAGTAAAGCCTTTGATAAGGTTGTGCATGGTAGACCAGTTAATAAAGTTAGAACACATGGATTCAGGGTGAGCTTACCAATGGATACAAAATCGGCTTTACAGTAGGGGACAAAGGGTAGTTGGAGAGGGTTGGTTTTTGGACTGGAGGCCTGTGGCCTGCATTTTTCCACAGGAATCAGTACCGGTCGACTTATGTTTGTGATTTCTATAAATGATTTGGATGAGAAATAGGAGGCATGGTTAGTAAGTTTGCAGATGACACCAAAATTTGGCAGTATAGTGGACAGTAAAGAAGGTTATCTAAGATTGCAATGAGATCTTGACCAATTCGGTCAATGGGCTAAGGAGTGGCAGATGGAGTTTAGTTTGGATAAAGGTAGGGCACTTTGGTAAAACAAACAAGGGCAGGATTTATACAATTAACGGTAGGGTTCTGGGTAGTGTTGTAGAACAGAGAGACCTAAGGGTTCAGGTACACAATTCTTTGAAATTTTCATCACAGGTAGGCAGGTTGGTTAAGAAGGCATTTAGCACACTTGCCTTCATTGCTCAGTGCATTGAGTATACGAGTTGGGACGTCATGTTGAGGTTGTACAGGGATGTTGGTGAGGCCTCTTCTGGAGTACTGTGTGCAGTTCTGATCACCCTGTTATAGGAAGGATATTATTAACTGGAGAGGATTCAGAAGAGATTTACCAGGACATTGCCAGGAATGGAGGGTTTGAGTTATAAAAATAGGCTGGATAGGCTGGGACTTTTTTCACCGGAGCATATGAGGTTGATCTTACAGAAGTTTTTAAAATCATAAGGGGCATAGATAAGGTGAATAGCAAAAGTCTTTACCCTAAGCTGGAGGAAACTAAGGACATATTTTTAAGGTGAGAGGAGAAGGATTTAAAAAGGACATGAGGGGCAACCATTTTACACAGTGGTTAGTGTGTGGAATGAACTACCAGAAGAAGTGATGGATGCAGGTACAGTTACAATGTTTAAAAGACATGAATAAGAAGGGTTTGGAGGGATATGGGGCACACGCAGGGAGGTGGCAGTAGTTTAGTTTAGGAACATGGTCAGCGTGGAGTAGTTGGACCGAAGGGTCTGTTTCCATGTTCTATGACTCTCCTCTTACTGCTTCCCCACCAGCTGGTGCTCTTTAAAGGCATTGTCATCTAACTTCTTATAAAATCCCAACAGTATGGAAGCAGGCCATTTGGCCCATCAACCATCTGAAAAGCATAGCACCCTCTATCCTATCCCTGTATCCCTGCATGGGTTAACATCCTTATGGCTAATCCACCTAGCCTGCACATCCCTGGACATTATGGGAAATTTAGCATGGCAAATCCACCTGACCTGCACATCTTTTGACTTTGGGAAGAAACCAAAGCACCCAGAGGAAGCCCATGCAGACTCAGGGAGAATGTGCAAACTCCACACAGACAGTCACCTGAAGGTGGAATAGAACCCAGGATCCTGGCTCTGAGGCAGCAATGCTAACCACTGAGCCCCCGTGCCACCCCTTGCAGATGAATTGTTACCTACTCTTGCAGAGCTGGTGGGAGTTTTGTGTTATTGGAGGAATTGAGGGAAGTTGTGTGTTTATTAGAGGAATTGAGGAAAGTTGTGTGTTTATTGGAGGAAATATTCTTTGCATCAGAAGGGAATAGTGCTGAAAGTGGTGTGTACTTTTGAAAGGCTTGCGGGCATACCATTTTGCTCTCAGTCAGAGGGAGTATAGTTATCCCAGATAAATGGAACAAAGGCAGCCGAAAAGACAGGTCCCTTGCATGGGCAGGAGGAGGAGGGATGTCAGCAGGAGACCATACATTCTGAGGGTTTTCAGGGAGCACTTTCTTCCTCCATTGAAGCTAGGTGCAGTGGATCCAATGGGAAGAGTTTTGCAAGCCTCTGAATGACGTGGGTAATGGTGAGATTGGAAAAATAAGATCCTCAGTGTCAAAAAAAGTCGTCTGATTGTTTTCATCCAAAGTTTGAACAGCAAGACGAGAATCTATAAGACTAACGAGCAGCGCAAGACATATTTTCATGCATTTACATCTCATTAGTCACTAATTGCGCCTCATTTAAATGCAATTTCCCACTCACCCACTATAATGGAATGAAACTAGGTAGCAACAATTCCCAATATGTAAGTCAGAGTGGATACCTGGCACCACCAGCTCCCTGCTTACTGCTCTAGGCCTCTGTCTTAGCCAGCACTGTCCAACATCTCAGGGCAAGGGCCATCGGTATGAACCACCTACACACACCCTGTCTACAAAAGTTGGCATCAAATGCCAGCTTTGACACGTCAGCACAGCCAATTTAGACTAACTTGGAATACTACAGATCACCACTTCAGCGTTGACCTTTGGAGAACAGTGACAATTCGTATTGCAATGTTGCTGCAGCTAGGCCCCCCTTTGGGGGCAGTCGTCCGTCTTGCGCGTAGGAATAGGGCACATCTCAGACCTGCAGCCTCACAGCTCTCCTTTCCCCCTGTCCTGACTGCAGCCCCATTCGTGCCCGGTGGCTCACCTTATGCAGACCCTGTCTCTATACTACACCCTAATGAATATGCAATACCAGAATGGGAGCTCGTTGCTGTAAGCGTCATGTCATGTAAAGGGGTTTCTAACTGGAAATTCATCGTTCTTCTAGTCCTTCATCCTCGGGCATAACTGGTTAGTGAGGGAGCAGTTCTTGAGACTCTGAAATGATACATGCATAAGGGGATTGTTGGTGTGGGGGTAGAGTACTTTTGGGGGATTATTGTGGCGGTGAAAGCAAGAGGTACATGCTGCACAACTTGTTGCTTTTCCTTCATGTCGCATTGTGAGATTTCAGATGGTGGTTCAGACAGGAACATCCCATCATCCTGGATGATTTTAACAACACCACATCAATAAACTTGCCCACCATCTCCTGCGAAGAGGTCAAGAAGGAGTGGTCATTCATGTTTGCTGCCAGCAGGTTGCTGCTTTCTCCTCTTGTGAACCACTTTGACGTTCAAAACAGAGGCAAGCGAGTCAACAACTCTGTTTCAATGTGTTTGGGTGATGCGTCTCCCATAGCTAAATTGCTGCCAGTACATGAAAACTGCTCATTGTCAGAATGAGGTTGCTATCATTTCTTCATCTGTGTTAGGTATGAGTTCTGATTGGTAGTGATTATCAGTGGGTAAATAATGGATGTGTGGTTCATTGGGCAGTGCATGATGTCAGTGGTGTAGTGTTTTGTAGATAGCATTCACTGTCTTTTCACATGCACATGGCATTGAACATCTTCGGATACTGGATCCAGGTCATAGGCGCCTCACTCATAGCATTGATATCCAAGGCAACCTGCTCCCACAGATGTTATAAAGTCTGTCTGGAGGGCCTCCCCACAACTTTCAAGTTCCATCATGGAGATGTCTGCTGCATTGGAGAATCTAGGAGCCCTTTTTGGCTTACTGTTGTGTTTCTGGGGTTTATTCCTGCTCCTAAAGTGTTCTCCAGGTAATTAAATAAGTTGCGGCAGCCTGTATATGTTTACCATTAAAAGCTGTTCACTGGCTTTAAATAATGAGGATTAGCCATGATTGCTGCTTGTCTCACACAAATTTGGGCTTCCTGTTGAACATGTAACCACTTAGCAGTGTGTTTGATGCTGCGTGCAGACTACAGTCTTGAAAGTGAGCAGACTGTAGAATCCCTACAGTGTGGAAACAGGCCATTTGGCCCAATGGATCCACACCAATCATGTGTCTGAAGAGCATCCCACCCAGACCCATCCCCCTACCCTATCTCTATAAACCTGCATTTCTCATGGCTAACCCACCTAGCCTGCACATCTTCAGACTGTTGGAGGAAACTGGAGCACCTGGCAGAAACCCAGACAGACACTAGGAGATTGTGCAAACTGCACGCAGACAGTCATCCAAGGATGGAATCAAACCCAGGTCCCTGGTGCTATGAGGCAACAGTGCTAACCACTGAGCCATTGTGCTGCCCAGCAGAAAATTTTCATGCTTCCTGCACTGCTTTGAGTATGAGATTTTATTCCACACCCTGTCAACTGGAAGTATTGAATTTCTAGTCATACATTTAAACGCAGATGTAATTAATGACATGATCATACTAGTCTTTCAATAGTATGCTATTCAAGTGTCTTGAAAATCTAGCCTTACAAGGTCACAAATTAATCTGAAATGCTGACCTTGTGAAAGATGCCTCGGGCCGGATCTTCCTGTATTTGGATCATTGGAGAGCGGATGTGTCACCCAAGATGTGTGTTGGCACTCAGTGGAAGTCTTGATGTGATGACCTGTAATTCCCCAATTTGATTTGGTGTCTGAATATTCCAAATGCCAGTCCCCACCGACCTAACTCAACTACCTCTTTTGACCACATTAACCCCAACCACCTGACTACCCCTCCCCACCCAACCCAACTACTTCACCCACTTGCCACCTCACTTACCCACCCACCATCTTGCCCACCTGCTACTCTACCCACCCAACACCAGACCATTGCTCACTTACTTCACTCACCCTTTTCACTTACCTGCCCTACTATTCTACTGATTCACCCGTTTATCCATTAAGCTATTTGCAGACAGTGTCGTAAAAAGGATGCAAGGCTTTGTTTCCCCATGTCTACTGCAGTCTGATGGAACTGCGAAAGATGTTGTGCTCCACATTGGGAATCATAAAGTCATACAGCTTGGAAACAGATCCTTCAGTCCAACTTGTTCATGCTGACCAGACATCCCAATCTGACCTAGTCCTATTTGCTAGCATTTGGCCCTTACCCCTCTAAACCCTTTCTATTCGTATACCCATCCAAATATCTTTTAAATGTTGTAATTTTATGTGCCTGCACCACTTCCTCTGGCAGCTCGTTCCATACACGCACCGTCCTCTGCATGAAAAAGTTGCCTCTCAGACCCTTTTTAAATCTCTCCCCTTTAACCTTAAACCCATGCCCTCAAGTTTTGGACTCCCCCACCCTCGGAAATGGACCTTAGCTATTCACCCTATCCATGCTTCTCATGATTTTATAAACCTCTATAAAGTCATCCCTCAGCCTCCGATGCTCTAGGGAAAGAAGCCCCAGACTATCCAGCCTTTCCCTACAGCTCAAACCCTCCATTTCTGGAGAGTTGGAAGACTCAGGAAGAAGTACGCACCAGAGTTAATTTGGAAAAAAGAGCAGCAATCCAATAATGACTCCTGACCAGATCTATGCCTACACCTTCAAGAAGACAATTAATTCAGTTGAAAGGAAAGGGGGGGGAATTTGTTTGTCTATCAGTGAGGATGACTATTGCAGCTAGTATCATGTGGTACTGCCTCCCCTGTAAAATTGTTATTGTCTGGTTAAAACAGAGAAACACAGCTATGTGAGTATCTGAACAAAGTGTGAACCTAATTACTTTTAGAAAATAATTTTAGTTGAGCTTAATAGCCATTTTGACTTGAAAATGTATAAACTCTGAAATTACATTGTGATACTGGAATAAAAAGCCATCTAGTATACATAGTTATTTTAAATCTGTCTTCCAGCTATTTTGTTGCGGTATTAATCCTTTTTAAATGAATCAATGCCTTGTTTGAGATCAAAGAGTTCCTGCAGAAATTTTCACCTATTTTCTTCTGGACATCTGTACTTAGGAAGAAATTCTGTTGAGCAATTGAAATTGGCTAATACATTGCTAAATAACAGAATTATTTGTTCTTAAAAATATTTAACAGAATTAACATCATGGTGTTACCAGGATACCTCACCAAGTCTTTGCATGAATTTAGATTCTGGAAACTTAGTATTGTCATAGTATAGAGTATAGTCTTAGTATAGAATTGAAGTGGGATGTTCGTCATACCTAAACTGGATGTGCCCCTCCTTTGTAAGAAATGGAATCCTGTAACTATGTTGCAATATTTAAACATGAAAAGATTAACTAGAGACATGGTTCACAAATTTACTTGGAGCTTTCCTCTTCCATTGCCATAACTTTTTCCGAAGTGCTATGACAACTTGTCTACCTGCATAAACAAAGCTCCCACTGGACAAATTTGTAACAATGGAGCAGGAGCAGCTCGAATAAAATTCATGACCATGATATATACAGCCAAGTAATTATTTATGCAACATATATACTTAAAAGTCACTTGGCTATTCATTTCAATCACTATTTCTTTTCTAGCATACACTAAGCTTTCCTTAAGGACATATTAATGCTCTGATATTTGAAACAGTTATCTGTCTACTTTTGTTCCTCTGTTTTCTTCAATCCCTGATCATTATCTCTTGCATCCTTCTTTTTTCTTCCTTTCTTAGGCCAAGCTAGATGATGAGATTCTTGACTACAAGGATTTGGCTGCTCTTCCTAAAGTTAAGGCCATTTACAATATTGATCGTCCTGACATGATCTCCTATACACCGTATATCAATTACTCCACTGTTGATAGGCATAGACTTGGGGAGGTACTGAACAACTCAGCGGTCCTCAAGAGTTCTTGAATTTGAAATTATTTAAAAGATGAGGTTTGGATTTTTCTACTGGACGGTTTTGTTGCACTTATTTTGAAGAATAATTCATGATCATGCTAATCAATTAAAGCAATTGTCTTGATGAACTAACACAGAATGAGCAAACTAAAATTATCAGGGACAGCAGAGGTAACTGTCTGTTTTGATGTTTTAAAATGTATCAATGCAGATTAGGATAAATTCACCTTTAGTTTGCTGTCTTTTCTTAAAGAACCAGCTGCACTCCTCTTCAAAGGAATTCTGTGGGGATTGGCATATTAAACCATACTTTTTTAAAATTGGTTGCAAATTTATATGTTGGTTATTTCTGACCAAATTCTGAACAATAATTAATTGAATGTTTGCACTGCAAGTTGACCAGCTGGTATGTAAAGTGAGCCACATTATATGGTTAAAGTTGCCATGACATTGCTTTTCATTATCTGACCAGAGAAAAATCCAGGCCAAAGAGTCTCTTTGTTCTACCCTAGTGCTCATTATGTAAAATCAGTTTTGTATTGTATACTTTCTGAATTATTACACTTTTAGCCTGTCATTTCACCAAGTACAGTTTGTTTTTCTTGTTTGCTGATTAGGTGATCAGTATTTGTACAAATATTGCACAAACCAGTGCTTAGATTTAAAGCTACTTTCTGTATTTCTCCACTCTGACATCAACTGAAATCAGTGCAGGAGTTCAGGAACTACTCATGTCTGCTTTCACTGTGGCTTCAAAATATTCATATACTTGGTGTGATAAGATGTGTTAATTGTGACATGTATCTGTATGCAGTGGGCCATCATTTTTCTCCATGAGAAGAACAATTTCAAAAATGAACTTTCATGAAAACAGAAATGATTCAGTTTTTAGAGGAACTTTTCTATTTCAAATAAGGACCAACAGGATGTTTTAAAGAAACAATGCAAAATTCTACATAGATCTCTGGCGTGTTCATGCATATTTATATGCCTGCAATACTTAGGAACGTAAAGCTAAGGATATAGTCAGATATAAAATTTAGTTAAGGGGTATACAAACTTGAATTTTGCAAATGAGCACAGAGGCAAACAACTTTTGAAAATTATATGTATGCACATAAATAGCAAAGTCAAAGCTGTATTCTCTTTTAATTCTTATTTTAGAATAATATTTTGGATATTTGACAAGTGTGGAAGCTCCAGTAGTCTTTTTTAAGTTCAAGTAGGATATTTTTAAATAACCTGAGGAGTCTGGTGAATCTTCTGAAATCTCACCTGTTAGTAACAAAAGAACCTTTATCTTTTAAAATCTTGCAACTGTTAAGTTACATTTTTTTGTGTCTAGTGTTTACGTGATGAACGTTTTCATTAGCAACATGTGACCCAGGAGGAGGTTTTTGGAATTTTGATGCTGAGACACAGTTGTATTCGAGAGTTTTAAAATCCCACTTCCAGAATGAGTGGGGGAAGTTTGGGGAATAATAAAACTAAATAAAGCCAGGTCACAACCACCACAATTACATCTACCATTTGTGCAATATTTGGTAGTGTGATGTGTCCAAGTGCCATTCTCAAGCAGCAGAATGCTGGAAGCATTTAAATTAGACTCCAGTGTGCTTTGAAATCTGAATTGTATTTAATGCTAGAGACAAAAAATTGCAGATGCTGGAATCCAAGGTAGACAAACAGGAGCATCTAATGCTAACTGGCTGGATTTCTGAGGGCTCAGGAAATACAGCAACTAAATGGAATTCCACATTAGGTGGATTTCCAGTTTTCCTCTGGTACCTAACTCTATCATCCACTCCTGCATTAATATTAGAGCCATAATATTCACTATCTGGCTATAGCTGTTACCATCCTATGCTACTATGTCAAGCAGTGATCAGTAGTGACTGCTGCAAGATAGGTGACAGAACATCATGCTTCAGTATTTCAACTTGTAAAAGATCGCAATAATATTTATAATTTAGGGAGACTACTTGATTCATCTTGGTTATTCTTCAAAACATTTGAGAATATGATGGCCTGAAGTAAATTGAACAGCAATTTAGAGGCTAATATATTTATTTTTAAAATATAGTGGATTTGAATACTCAAGGTTTTCTTGTAGTATTCCTTTCAAAGTCTATAGAACTTCATTTAATCATTCAGCTTTGTTTCAACTAAGTTCCTTTTTCTTGTGGGTCTCTAGTTATGATTTACAGCACTTTTTACCAGAATTCTTTCATTTACTTTGCATTCTACAATTTGTTTTTGGAATAACAAAATTCAAATTGTTGCACCATATAGTATTATTGTTCTATTATTGCAGCTATTCTGTTTATTTATTTTAATCTAAGAATTGTTCTAAGAGCTAACAAAATGTATTTCTTTTTCTAGTCACATCGACTGCTTTACTCAACATCAACTGAGGTAAACATTAGATTCTTTCTTTTTGTATCTTTTTTGTTATCAGAAAATTGAAAAACACTTTCTTGGAAAAGTAAAGCCTGGGTCTTGAGTGGCCTGTGATTGATTCTGATGTGATTGATTTTATTGTCACGTGTACCAAAATACAGTGAAAAGCTTTGTGTATGAGCAGTACAGGCAAATCACAGCAAGCAATGGATGTACAGATCAAAGAGACATACAGGCATACAGATTACCTTGAGGCTAGAGTCCATTCAACAGTCTGATAACGGCTGGAAAGAAGCTGTTCCTGAACCTGCTTGTGCATGTGTTCAGGCTCCTGTATCTTCTGCCTGACGGAAGAGATTGTAGAAGGTCTTGCATAGCACCTGAATGGCCTTTTAGAACAGAGAAAAGTCTGTCCCAAACCTACTCATCAACAACAGGAGGAACAACAACATCCAACATCACCATTTTCAAACTCTTAGTCTACTTATTTGGTTCAGACATGAGAATTAGAGGAAATAATGAAATGCATTCAAATTTCTGGATTAGTTATTGAACTTCGTTAGGTTAACTCAAAATATATTAAATATATAATATGTACTTTTACTCTTCAATGAATTATTTATAGCAATAACCTGCAACCTAAGAAGGAGTGATACTTTAAATTAATCAGATATAAATGTTACTGAATGCCCTTGCATCAAGCAAGAAGAAAACAAAAATCATTTCACAGCTCTTTCGTTCTTGGAAAGCCATTTGGTATTGGATTTGAGATTTTCTGATCAAAGAATAGAAAATAGGAGGGCATTATCAGAAATGGAAGGATACCAACAGAAATAAATTAGTAATGTTTTACAATTTTTTTAGGTGATATGCTTCATTAGAGTTTTATGTGTATAATGAAAATGAAAATATATCTCAAAGATCTCTGGAAACATGATAATGCACAAGAATTATGCACAGAGGATTATTTCCTCTGGAATTTGTCATAATTTGAATTTGTTTAAAAGAAAATGTAATGAGTCACTGAATGTCACAGCACAATATAATGCAATTGTGCTGTGGTGGTCATACTTTCAGATTCCCTTGCAACAAAGACATTTATTCCCAATGGGAAAAAAACTGTCAGTCCGACTGTCTTGGCTTGAGTGCTGTTGTTGGCCTGATTCGATAAAAAATTTTGACTATCTAAGTATCTAAGGATTATACAGGATGAGGCACCAAACTAATCAGGTGAACTTTTGACACGGCTTCTATGATTACAAAAGGATACACTCCGAGATGTAAAGTACTTCCCTTTGAAAATAAAGGCATATCCTTGAATTGGGTCAGTTGGAAACTAGGGCAACAAATGAATTGCTTTTACAATGGTAATTGTTCAATACTTTTGTGCTCTATTTATTTTCTTTGACATTACAACTTGCTTGAATGTGTTTAAAGTGCACATTTACTAAATGTTCAAAGTTTGAGTGCACAGAAAAGCATTTGTGCATTTTTGTTTACACAAATGCATTTCTTGAGCAATATTGTATAGTAGTGTTTGAAAAATGTCAAGAGCATAAATCGGAAGATGTCTAACTACATTCCATGCATATATGTATTTAAATATAGAAGGGCAAAACTAGATGACGTTATGATATTTGTTTTGTGAAACACTAATGAAGATTTGAATTCTGATTAACTACCCATAGCATCTATTGGAAGCCGGTACTATACTAATAACCCCATTCAACAAATTCTAAGTCCCAGCTTTTGGACAAAAAGAATTTGTCCAGACACTTTGCCTTATTCATTGAGGAAAGGGTTATGGAAGCTGCTAGTTCCTTCTGCATTGTCCATGGCCACCTGACCAGTTGGAGCCTTTCTGCCTGGTCTGAGTTTAATGAGCTAACTAACATTGATAGTCAATAGTTCCTGTTGTGTCTCCATATTAATCATATTACAACCTATGAGTGCCTTTTTCTCATGCAGTATGTATTTACGTTCCCTTTCTAAATTTGGTTTTAGGTCTGCTAAGAGAGACAAGACAAAACGTTTTGACTTCATGCCTTTTTAGCAATATTTAAGCTTTAGCATTCCTAGCTTTTGCTGTAATTTATAGAGGGATTTATGTAAGGTTGCTGTAAATCATTAGACTTATTAATTGGACTCCTTCTATTGCATGGTGACATAGATTTATACATCAGACATTGCACAATTCATTTAAGATAACAAGGTGTAGAGCTGGATGAACACAGCAGGCCAAGCAGCATCAGAGGAGCAGGAAAGCTGACGTTTCGGGCCTAGAGCTACACCTTGTTATCTCAGATTCTCCAGCATCTGCAGTTCCTACTATCTCTGGCACAGTTTATTTATATTTGTTCCATTTGTGAATCTTACCTACATAATTATCATTGCATTTCAAATTCATTGTAAATGAGGTACTTTGAGAACCTTGTGGCAGATTTGATACAATGCTATTTAACTTTGTTATTTTTTGATATTGTACTGAATTTAAAAGCAAAATTATGCTAACCATTTACAAGTCATTGCTACTGGGCATGTATAAGTAGTAATTGGATTAAATAATAGTGTAATTCTAATAGTCGCAATGAGTTCATCATCAATCCAGTTAATTGATTTGCTGGTTCAAATCAACATGGATTTTTTTTGTATGCACCAAATGTCAGGATTAGCAGACACTACTAAACAGCCTGTTCAGACATGTTATGACAGACCTTTAGAGCAGGTGAGACTTCAACCGAGGCCTCCTGGCCCAGAGCTGGGAAACAAGAGCCCTAATGCCAAGTTTGTAAACTTGCCCATTTCAACTCCCAGTTATTTGCTGGATTTAATTAATTAATTTATTTGATTTATTTATTGTCGCGTGTATTTTGTTAGAAAATACAGTGAAAAATATTGTATAGTGTCACTACAATCTGGCGCCATCTTAAAACATAGAAAAATAAACCAAAACATAGAATATAAAGGCAGAAAAATGAAGAAATAAAGAAAAATAGTTCAACTTCACAGTCCTTCTTGTTAACTGCTCTGCCATGGGCCTGGTGACATAAGTCCCCATTGCCATGCCATCTTTGCTGGAATGAAAGTTGCCACTCTTTGGCGCTGTCTCACCTCCACCAAAGCCCTCGATAGACCATGCCAATTCAGATGTCACCGATGTCACTGGGTACCACACTTGCCTAAACTTAACTCTGCTGCTGCCATGAGTCTGCTTTGGGCCCATCTCACCGATGCAGCCACTGCTGATGCGGCGGGGTCTTGTACTGGGCCCAAACTCGCCTCCGCCAATGCCTCCATTAATCTGCGCTGGATCCAGATGCCACCAGGAACCCAAAAGCTCCTCCATCATAGCAACCGTGAATTAGCACTAGGAACCCAAATGCACCTCCGATGCCACATGTCGTCGTTATGACCAAGCTCTTCAGGAAGAGGTAAGTAAAGTAGAAGAGAAAAAAGAGAAAGAAAAAAACGAGAAAAGAGAGAAAAAAAGAAAAGCAGACTGAACAGATGAGCCCTGGGCTTAGAAGCCCTACTCCACGGCCATCTTACCAGAATTGAATTTGATGTCATCTTAAGTGGATCAAATAAAACCAAAGTAGTTAATGGGCAGTTGAGATTGTTAAGAATCATTTCATTAAGAACAATATATATTGGATTCTAATTTACATTTATAGATGTCTAACCAACACTGCAAGTAATAGTTGCAACTTTGAATTCTCTCATAATTGTTTATGAATCCAATATTCTGGAAAATAAATGCATTTTTCTTAGTTGGTTTGGACTAAATATATTGAATAAAATAATATTCTTGGATGCTATACAAGACAATTAACCCCTAAATGTAGAATATTTATATTGTTCTAGGACAAAATGAATGATTTACAAACTGTAACTTTAAAGAGAGATCATCTAATAGAATCTTAAAGTTATACAACACAAACAAACCCTTCGGTCCAACTCATCTTTACAACAAATTTATGAAAGTTAATATAACATAGAGCTGCTACAATATCAATTAATTAATTAATTATATTACAAAGTACACAAAACCAAAACACACAATATTACATCTTGTGGTAGTCATGCATCTTTTTCCTGAATTGCATTTTGGGTAAATGTACATGTTACATTACACATATAGCAGAGATAGCAGGAACTGCAGATGCTGGAGAATCTGAGATAACAAGGTGTAGAGGTGGATGAACACAGCAGGCCAAGCAGCGTCAGAGGAGCAGGAAGGCTGATGTTTCGGGCCTAGACCCTTCCAGCTCTACACCTTGTTATTTTACATTACACATAGTTTGTTGATGCAGTGTTAACATAGTGTTGAATCAAATAAGTGCATTATGTAACTGGTCTGTTTGATAAATTCACCTAAAATTGCCATTTGAATTGACACCAACAGTTGGCTGCTCGTTGCTTGGTCTAAATACAATTGGGTTGCGCAATATCAAAAAGTCAGCGTTGCGACCAGTCTGGTTGTTTCCAGTCCAAAACAAAAGGAGGCACTGTTAGACCTGGTTTTGGCAAATGAGGTGGGCAAAATGGATCAAGTTTTCAGCAGGAGACCATGTCGGGGACAGTGATTACTATGTCAAAAAGTTTGGGTTGGTTATGGAAAAGGAGAAAGAACAATCCAAAGTTAAGGTAATTTACTGGGAGAAAGCCAGCTATAATAGCATAGAAATGGATTTAACCTAGATAAATTGAAATTGAATGTTAGAAGGCAAAGCATGAGCTGAACAATGGATGCCTTTAAATAGGAAATAGTTAAGGCACAGTCAATGTATATTCTTTCAAAGGGAAAAGATAGGGTAAACAAATCCAAATCATTAGCATTGATGAAGAAAAGAGAGAGTCTGTAATGACCAGCAACTAACATAATAGACATATAAAGGGAAAGTCACTCTAGTCCTACCAGACCATAGGGCTAAATAAAAACTGAAAGAACTGCGGATGCTGTAAAACAGAAGTTGCTGGAAAAGTTCAGCAGGTCTGGCAGCATCTGTGGAGAAAAAAAATCAGAGTTAACGTTTTGGGTCCGGTGATCCTTCCTCAGAACCATAGGGCTGCTCTCTCATAAGAGAGAGACGGCTGGTAGTGAGTTTAAACTGAGGGTCACCACAACCCAGGCAAGGTAAAAGGTGGGACCTTCACGGTAACCTTAACCAGTGCAGGAATTGAATCCACATTGTTGGCATCACTTTGCATCACAATCCAGCCAACTGAGCTAACAGAATTATAGGGTGGTATGAGTAGGAGTTGAATTGATTAGGGACAAGAATGAGATTTAAACATGGAAATGGGGAACATGGTTGAGGTTTTAAATAAATACATTCCAACAGTCTTTACCAAGGAGGAAGATGCTGCACCCATTATGGTGAAACAGGAAATGATTCAAACACTCAAAGGGTTTAAAATTGATAAAGAGGTGGTTTTGGATAGGTTGTCTGTACTTAAAGTTGATAATAGGCACTAGGGACAGATGAGATACATGCAAGAATACTGAAGGAATTTGGACCGGGAACTGCAGAGGCACTCGCCATAATTTTCCACTTTCTTGATACTGCCAGGGAGTTGCAAACGCTACATCCTTATTCAAAAAAATGTGTGAGGATAAGCCCAACAAGAACAAGAAAATCAATTTAACCTCAATAGTGGGGAAGCTTCCAGAAATGATGATTTGAGACTCAACTAATAAGCTATTAGTCAAATGTGGGCGAATTAAAGAAATCTTGAATGGATTTGTTGAAGGTAAATCATATTCAACCAACTTTCTATAGTTCTTTGAGGCAACAGAGGGGTTTAAGGAGGGTAACTTTGTTTGTGTGGTATACAGGGATTTCTATTTGATAAAGCCATTTGATAAAGCTCCACACAACAGACATGTGAATAAAGTTAGACCTCAGGGAAGAAAAGGGACAGGAGCAACAAGTTTACAAAATGAACAAGTTCTCAAGAAAGATCCGTGGACTTAAGATGTTAACTCTGCTTTCTGTCCACAGATGCTGCCAGACCTACTGAGATTTGCCAGAAATTTCTGTTTTGTTTCTCATTTCCAGCAGGAGAGGTCCTTAATGAATACTTTTCTTCGGTATTCACAACTCAGAGGGACCTAGTTGTAGGGGAGGACAGTGTGAAACAGGCTGGTCGGCTAGAAGAGGTCGATGTTAGTAAGGAAGATGTGCTAGGAATTTTGAGGAAGTTGAAGATAGATAAGTCCCCCGGGCCTGTTGGGATTTATCCAAGGATTCTATGGGAAGCGAGGGAAGAGATCGCAGGGTCTTTGGCGATGATCTTTTCGTCCTCACTGTCCACGGGTATAGTGCCGGAAGATTGGAGAGAGGCAAACGTCATTCCCTTGTTCAAAAAAGGGAATAGGGATAACCTCAGAAATTACAGGCCAGTTAGTCTTACATCAGTGGTGGGCAAATTATTGGAAAGGGCTCTAAGAGATAGGATTTATGATCACTTGGATAGGCACAATTTGATTCATGATAGTCAGCATGGATTTGTGAGGGGTAGATCATGCCTCACAAACCTTATTGAATTCTTTGAAGAGGTGACCAAACACGTGGATGAAGGTGGAGCAGTGGATGTGGTATACATGGATTTAAGTAAGGCGTTTGATAAGCTTCCCCATGGTAGGCTCATGAAGAAGGTAAGGAGGCATGGGATAGGGGGAAATGTAGCAGAATGGATTCAGAATTGGCTGACCCTTAGAAGACAAAGGGTGGTAGTGGACAGAAAATAGTCAACATGGTGCTCAGTTACAAGTGGTATACCACAAGGATCTGTCCTGGGTCCTCTTCTATTTGTGATTTTTGTACATGATTTGGATGAAGGAATGGAAGGGTGGATTAGCAAGTTCGCGGACGATACGAAGGTGGGTTGCGTTGTGGACAGTGCAGAGGGCAGTTCTAGGTTACAAAGGAACATTGATAGCATGCAGAGCTGGGCTGAGAAGTGGCAGATGGAGTTTAACCCTGAAAACTGTGAGGTGATTCATTTTGGAAGGACAAGCTTGAAAGCAGAATACAGGGTTAACGGAAGGATTCTTGGCAGTGTGGAGGAGCAGAGGGATCTTGGGGTTCATGTTCACAGTTCCCTGAAAGCTGCCACCCAGGTGGATAGAGTTGTTAAGAAGGCGTATGGTGTGTTAGCTTTCATTAATAGAGGGATTGAGTTCAAGAGCTGTGACGTTATGCTCCAGCTATACAAAAGCCTGGTTCGGCCACATCTGGATTATTGTGTCCAGTTCTGGTCGCCTCATTACAGGAAAGATGTGGAAGCGTTGGAAAAGGTGCAGAGGAGATTTACCAGGATGTTACCTGGAATGGAGGGAAGGTCTTACGAGGAAAGGTTGAGAGAGCTAGGGCTTTTCTCTTTAGAACGACGAACAATGAGAGGTGACTTGATGGAAGATTTCAAAATGATCAGAGGTATAGATAGAGGGGACAGCCAGAGACTTTTTCCTAGGGTGGAGGTAGCTATTACGAGGGGGCATAGTTTTAAAGTGAGTGGAGGTAGATATAGGGGAGATGTCAGAGGTAGGTTCTTTACTCAGAGGGTGGTCGGGGCGTGGAATGCATTGCCGGAGAGGGTAGTGGAGTCGGCCTCATTAGGGGCATTTAAGCGGTGATTAGATAGGCATATGGATGATAGTATAACGTAGGGGTGGAGGTTAGATAGACCTTAGGATTAGGGTAAAAGTTTGGCACAACATCGTGGGCCGAAGGGCCTGTACTGTGCTGTACTGTTCTATGTTCTATCCACAGTTCTTTTGGTTGTTTTTAAACAAAGCAAACTGACTGATAGAAAATAAAGTTGTACTTATTGGATGCTATTTTGCTGTAAGGATTATCATGAAAGGATGTGAAGGCATTAAATAGTGTGCAGATATCTTTTGTGAGCATGGTTCTAAAGAACAGGAACTCCGGTTACATAAGTAAATTGGAGAGGTTGGGACTGTTTTGGGACAAAAGATGATTTGATGGACTTATTCAAAGTCATGAGGGGTTTGAACAGAGTAGATTGGGAAAAGCTGTTTCTTTTTGTGGAAGGATTGAGGAGGACACAGATTTAAGGTCATGGCAAAAGAAGCAATGGGAAGATGAAAAGCTTTTTCACACAGTGGATTTCTCCTTCAGTGAGCAAGCAAAGACATGATGGGTCAAATGTCCTTTTTTTGTGCTGTAACAACTCTGCGATACTACATTCCTCGGCATTGTTTTTTAAACTCTAAATTGTATGCCTCGGTTTTGCACTGCAATGTCAGTCTGGATTATGTTTAAATCCAGAACCATCTGATCATCAAGAGTGCCGCCATTAAGTCACAGCAATGGGTTGCATTTATACCGTACCCTCAAGGTAGTAAAACATCCCAAGTGCTCAAACAAATCTTAATACCAAGCAATCTGTAGAGGTATTAGGATAAATAACCAAAAACAAACAAAAATCAAGTCTGATTGAACGTCTTAAAGGAGATGGAGAAGTTTACTGAAGAAATTCCATCATGTTGTGCTTCAGCAATAGCTGCCAAGTTGGAGCAAATGAAATTGGGAGGTGCAAGAGACCAGAATTGGAGGAGGCCAAACTCCTCTGAGGACTGAAAAAAGTTATAGTCATGGGGAAGGTGTGTAGTCATTGGAGGAATTTGTGATCAAAGATGTAAATGTTAAAATTGATACTTTGTTTAAAGCACTGTTAACATAGATACAATAGTGAATGGAATTCAGTGCACATTGAAATATAGACAGCAGAGTTTTGGATGAATTTACTTTTGTGGAGAGTTGAAAATGGGAGCTCAGGAGTGCAAGGAACAGTCACTTCTAAAGAGAACAGTGGCATAACTGAGGGTTTTAGCAGCTGATGAGCTGAGACAGGAATGTAGTCAGGTGATGTTCAAAAGATGATAGCAGGTTGTCTGAATGATAGTGTGGAGTGTGACAGGGGTCAAATATAACACCAAGGTTGTAATCAGTCCTCAACCTCAGACCGTTACCAGGGAGAGGAATAATAACTAGTGCACTGTCTGTGGCTAGGCTTTAGTCTTCCCCAGTACTTAGTTGGAGCACTATGAAATGAAGCTAGGACATTCTAATATCAAATTGATGGATTCACTCTAATGGTGAGGACAATCTTTACATTGTTCCTTAGATCTGTGTTAACATGTGCATACCCAGAGTTGAAACGCCCTGTGTAAATGTAATCATTGTAATCACCGTTTACTTTGATCCAATGCAAGATACTGATTTCTGCTACACAGCACATATCCAAGGAAATCTTTTGTTTTCCATTACAGGATGAAGAGGAAGGACCAAGACAGCGTAGAGCCTCCAGCCCTGGATCCTTTGGGTCTCTTGGTTACGGGCGTTACACACCAACATGGTCTCGCTCACCCCAGCATTTCCATACACCAGGTAATAACTGCCCTTATTGCAATGTGTCCTATCATAGAAAAGCAGACACTAAAAAATGCAGTAAGCTTTCCAATTGAAATGTTTAAGAACCATGAACAATTTGATCACATTATTCAATTGTTGACCTCAATTTTTTTCTGGTGGTTGTAATATTACAACTCAACAACAACTTGCATTTATATAGTGGCTTCAATGTAGTAAAACATCCCAAAGTGCTTCACAGGAGCCTATTCAGAAAAATAGAGGAATACCAAGTCAAAGCAGGAATCACTTGAACAGGTGATCAAAGTACTGGTTTAAAAGGTATGTTTTAAGGACTGATAGGAAGTTGGAGAAGTCTAGGGAGAGAAATCCAGAGCTTAAGACTTAGATAGCTAAAGACATAATCATCAAGCAAATGCAAGCGACCATAATTTAAGGAACACAAGAGTTTTTAATGACTTGTAGGACTGGAGGATGCTATGGAAATACAGGGAGAGCTTTTTAAAATTGAAGTATTCATGAACTGGGATTCAGTGTAGATCAGCAAGTGCAAGCATAGTGGGAGACTGGTACTTGGCTTTGGATGACCTCAAACTTATGGGAAGTGATTGATGGAAGGTCACCAGAAAACTGTTGAAATTGTCAAACCTATTCATTGTCAAACGTACCAAATTCATGAGTGAAGACTTCAGCTGAAGATAGAGTGAGGCATGGGCAGAGACAAGCAATAGTATAGAGGGGGGAATCAGCAGACTTGGTGATGGAAAGAATATAGTGCAGGAAACTCAGAGCAGCACCAAATAGGATGGCGAAGTTGCACAAAATCGGACAGCCTTAGGCTGGAGTAATAACTGGGATTGTTGCAGCGGTATTAGAATAGGGAAGGGTGACATAACAGGTGAGAGATACATTGACGTATTCACAGATGACCGTAATTATGATTGAAATGAAAGAAGTAGAGAAGTTGATTGAGAAGACAAGGTCCTGGTAATTATATAAAAGTTTAAATACACACAGGCCTTGATAACCTTATAGCAAATACAAGGGGGTAATGAAGCAACTTGAAGGGGAGCGATTTTGGTGTTGTGATTGTGGGTCTGAATCTCAGCCTGTTCAGTTACCCTAGAGACCTTGCCAAATTTAGTGTTCCAAGTTCAGTATGAATCCACTTCTAAAGAAGACATAGTGAACTTGGACATTAACTCTGTTTCTCTCTTCACAGATGCTGCCAGACTTGTTAAGTTTCTCTGGAATCATCTGTATTTTTCCTTTATTATGTTTATTATGTCTTTCCAAATCTAATGATAAGATCTGATTTATTTCAACTTGGTTTCCAGGCCATAGAGAGGCAGTTTAAGAGGCCAGCTAGCTCCCAGGAAAATGGGCAGCCAGGCTGCTGAGTGGAAATGAGCCAGATAGCTCAAAAACTTCTGTTTTTGTTCTTGGTACGGGATGAAGTTTGGGGGTTAGTTGAACATTGGAGGCTGAGGATGATAGCTGGACAATGGAACTCCTGAGGTGAGTTGGATGTCAGAGTGAGAGATCAGATGAGAATTTGGCGTGACAATATGGTCAGTTAATTAAGAGTGTTGGGTTGTGGATGGTTATTGTCTGGGTAGCTTGGGGTGCTGAGAGGAAACACCTCTGCTCTCTCAGCCCTCAAGCACTGCTGGAAAGATGTTTGTCTGTTCCATCCAATCATTCCTGACTTGTTTCCATTGCTGAGTTCCCCAACTCCCAACAAATCTGCTGGGAAATGTTAAATTTAAAGGTCAATGATATTCAACTTAAAGACACCATTGTGCAAATACTTTATTCAATATTCTCCATCACCAGGAAAGCACCCATGTGACTAGTGAAACATTAACAAGCAAAGCCTAATAAGGGCAATGTTTACGTCAGAAAGTGAAGGAGTGGGTATCAGGAGAGAAGGAGTGGATTAAATCAAAATAGAGTTGAAGGGTGAAAAAAGCGCTCCATCCACCAACGTGCCCACCTCTCCCTAAAGGGATCCTAAAGGCATAGATAGCATTGGTGGACACCATGTGCTCCCTCTCCAATGACATCCAGGCCCACTTGATGTCTTGTAAGGTTGTTAATTGCTACACTAACTATCCGTTTGACTATATTGTTTGAGGTCCTGACTGCAACAAGTGGATGACTTACAAATGCAAATGCATCTTGTTTGATTGCACTCATAATCCAACAAACAATAATTATTCTGTTGACCTACTCGCTCCTCACCCACCCAGTCATCCCTGGGAGTTAAACTAGAAGTTAAAATTCTACTCCAGTAGAAACTGGAATTGTTTTCCCCATTGCAAAAAAAAATTAATAAGCATGTGGAAAATTAGGAAGGGCTTACCTACAAAATTAGGAGAAACTATTTCCATTGCCAAGAGGACTATTAAGCCAGGTAACAGATTTAAGGTAGTTGGCAAAAGAACCAAAGATGAGATGAGAATTATTTTATCCTTCAACACTATGAACTGGATTGCACTTCCTTGAAAAGTGGTTGAGGCAGACCCTGTGGTGGTGTTCAAAGAGAACTAGAGAAATGAAGTATTGATAATGAAATATTTGCAGGTCTGTAGGAGATAGGAATGTAGTGAAAATATTTAGATAGCTCTTTAAAACAGCAGAAACAGACATGATGGACTGAATGACCTCATTGAGTGCCATAACAATCTAGGTGGGTATGCTTCATGTGGGGGTTTAAAGTCTTAAGAATAAAATTCCTGACCCAAACCAATTTCCAGCTGAGGCAGAAAGTTGGATGGATGGTCACACAATCTCAAGGTGAAAGGTTAGACCTTCAAATGTGACATTGGCTGCCAGCCACATTGTCATTCAGTTTTTCAATTTTAATGATGGTAGACCATTTAAAGCCTTGCGAAATCTGACAACTACTTCCAGGTAAGAACTTGGTGAAACCAGAAGGTGAGGACATTAACACATACTTGCAGAGACCAGGAAGCTTGCCTGAGGAGTTTCATGTTCAGGCAACTCCTATGAACCTTCCCCATGAGACATCTGATTTTCCAACACACTGCATCTCCAACTAAAATGCATCACCTCATTTTAGTGTGTTGAACTTCATTTGCCAATTATTTGTCCGTTCTACAAGTTTATTAATGCCATCTTGTAATTACTTGGAGTTCTGCTCAACATTGACCATCACTTCCTCCATATATGCAATGTGGTGTCATTTGAAAATTTAGAATTTGCATTTTTGACTTCATTTTCCAAATTATTAATGTAAATCATTGATATAAATTGTAAACAGAACTGGTTCCAGCACTGATCTTTTTGATCATCGCTTAACAACTTCTGCCACTCTGAATAACTATCCATTATTTCTACCCTCTGCTTTCTGTCTTGAAGCTACGGAAGAAAATGTGAGGCCCCTTGCTGAAATGTTTGTATCATCTACAAACATGGGTAGGGGGTTGGAGGACTGGAGGGTGGCTAATGTTGTACTCTTTATTTAAAAAAGACCATAAGGAGAAGCCTGGACACTATAGACCTGTGAGTCTGACATCACTGATGGGTAAGTTGTTGCAGGGGATTCTGAGAGATAGGAATTACATGCATTTGGAGAGGCAAGGAACTGATTAGGGATAGGCAGCATGGCTTTGTGCGTAGGAAATCATGTCTCACAAACTTGATTGAGTTTTTTGAGGACGTGACCTAAAAGATAGATGAGGGCATAGCAAGCATAGCAATAGGTGTCATCTACATAGACTTGTCAAAGGCTTTATTGAAGGTTCCGCATGGTACACTAATTAGTAAAGTTAGTTCACATGGGATTCAGAGAGAGCTTGCCGAATGGAAACAAAATTGGCTTGACAGTAGGAGACAGAGGGTTCTGGTAAGAGGGTTGTTTTGCAGACTGGATACCTATGACCAGTGGTATTCCACAGAGATCAGTTCTGGGTCCACTGTTGATTGTTATTTATATAAATTATTTGGGTGAGAATTTGGGAGGCAAAGTTAGTAGGTTTGCAGATGACACCAAAGTTGTTTGTATAGTGGACAGTGAAGAAGGTTTTCTGAGATTATAAAGGGATCTTGATCTACTGGGTCATTGGGCTGGGAAGTGACAGATGATTTTAATTTGGATAAATGTGAGGTATTGCATTTTGTTAAGATGAACAAAGTCAAGACTTATACAGTTAATGGTGGGGTCCTGGGTAGTGTTGTCGATCAGAGAGACCTAGGGGTTCGTCACGTAGTTCATTGAAAGTTGCATCACAGGTAGACAGGATGGTTAAGAAGGCATTTAGCATGCTTGCCTTCATTGCTCAGACCATTGAGAATAGGAACCAAGACATCATGTTGAGGTTCTACACGATGTTGATGAGGCCACTTTTGGAGTACTGTGTACAGTTCTGGTTACCCTGCTATAGGAAGGTATTATTAAATTGGAGAGGGTTCAGAAGAGATTTACAAGGATGTTGCCAGGACTGAAGGGTTTGAGTTATAGGATGATGTTGGATCGGTTGGGACCTTTTTCACTGGAGCATAGGAGGTTGAGGGGTGACTTTATAGAGGATTATGAAATCATGAGGGGCAAAGATAAGATGAATTGCCAAGGTGTTTTCCCTAGGATAGGAGAGTTCAAAACTAGAAGGCATATTTTTAAGGAGAGAGGAGAAAGATTTAAAAGCGACCTGAGGGGCAACATTTTCACACAAGACGGTGGTTCATATGTGGAATGCACTGCCAGAGAAAGTGGTAGATGGAGGTACAGTTAAAACATTTGAAAGACATTTGGACAGGTACATGAATATGAAAGGTTTAGAGGGATATAGACCAACCACTAGAAAGTGGGGCCAGTTTAGTTTGGGAACGTGGTCAGCAGGGATGAGTTGGACCAAAAGGTCTCTATAACGTAGCACTTACAAACAAGAGTAGGCTATTTGGCTCTTTGAGCCTTCTCTGTCAGTTGATACAATCCTGGTTGATCTGGTTGTTATCTGAACTGTAATTTTTTGACTGCCCTTCATAATGAATGA